TTGCATAGTCATCTTACATTTGGCAGGAGTAGATCACATGCTAAACATTCGAAGATTTCTTTTTGTTGTTCATATACGAACGTTTAAATTATAAGAGATGAGACAAATAATAAAAACATAGTTAAAATGCATTGAACATATCTGCTTTTTATTATACTGGGATTACAAATGTGAAGGTATAGTAGGCAACTTTATCGATACAACCCAGTTACCCTGAAAGATTTCCCTATGTATCATGCTTTTTTTTATTCCTTCAAGTTCCCAGTGGAACATAGGGCTTCAAGCTAGAGGCTTGAAGTTTCTGTAGCAGTGTTTATTTTTACAGCCTCATGCCCAACCTTCCCTCTTTACCAACTTTATATTTGGCTTAACGAGGTAAAGGAGTGCGTCGGTGGCCGGGGATCGAACCCCAGACCATGTGCATGGTCGGTGAGCGTCCTGACCACTGTGCCACCGACGCACTGTATCACGCTTTGAGTTACAGTTATTGTGCAAGGCTGTGTAGTAGGTGAATTGGGATTTGAATTAAAGCCCTAAAGTCTCAGAATCAAGTATATCATTCAGCCAAGCAGATACATTTTCACACACGGTTGGTAAAGTGAACAGGTTTAGAAAATTAATTATGAAATTTAGCAACTTGTATATGATACATATATTTTGTGAACATATAAATTACATGTTGATCAACATATGAACTTTTAAAGTACTGACTGACACCAAGAATAGTTTTTTTTTTACTACTAAGAGGGCGTGTTTAGTCACATGGAGATAAGCCTATCTAATCATCGCATGAATTTTGTAATTTAAGATTTTTTTTTAAAAAAACAAAACAAATATGCTTAACTGAAAACACAGGATAGGCAAACAATTAAACAGAACAGAGCTAAAGAGTTTTAAGTTCAATACAGTTTAGATATTCTATATATGTATGCTGGCTGGCTGGCTGGTTTCAACATAGAACTTTGCACCGTTGTGCAGCAGTTCAAGTCGCCACACTCCATGTAGCACACAAAACAAGAGAAGAAAGTAGAAGAAATGCATAATAGAGACAGTAAATAGAGGTGTGAGACAAAGGAATAGTAATATCGAAGAACAATATAGTTTCATTGGGTATTATAAGTCACATGGAGTGAATGCATCTGTGCCAACCATACAGAAAGATTTTGAGCCATATCACTAATTGTCTCCAGCCATTGGTGTTTACCGTCCCGAGGACTCCAACCAGGAAGTTTACACCTTCCTACGTGGCTTAAACTAACTGTTATGGATTTCATCGACTGATGAAGCCATGTTTTCGTTTGACCACCAGTGGCTCTTTTCCAACCTCATCGATCTTATGTCAGCTAACATTGCCCGTGGAGGGAAGAGATGGCTAGGCATGCGTAACACGTGTCCTAACCATCTCAGTCGATGTAGCTTCACAGCCTCGTCTATTGATTTCCCCTACCACCTACCTAGCACTCGACCGGTGCCTCACCCAAATATTGCTCAACCTATTATACCATTTCACACGGGAGATAGAACGCAGGCACCTATGATCGAAGACAACTGACCCCATGTCAGTTAACATTGCCCGTCGAGGGAGGCGATAGCTAGGCATACGTAATACATGTCCTAACCATCAGTGTAACTTTACAACACCATGGACTGATTTCCCACCTCCCCCACCTCCTTATCTAGCAATAGACGTCTAACTTCAATATTGTTCACCTTATAATACTACTCAACACGTGAGACAGAACGCAGGCACTTATGATTAAAGACAGCTAACTTTTTCGTATCTTCAAATTTCAGTGTCCATTTTTCTCAGCCATAAAGGAGGATGGAGCGAACTGCTGAGCAGTACACACGCCCTTAGATCGACAGCTAACCGGATATCACGTCTACGCCAGAGACGGTGTAAACTGGTATAAACGAAACTAGCCTTCTGTATCCGTGCTGAGATTTCATCTGAGATCAATCCGTTGGCACTGGCTGATACAACTTCCCAAATAAGTGAAGTGGTCAACACACTCCACCAACCACTTCACTCCCTATTTCTAAGCTAGGAGTCAATGCAGTCCAGTCCTGTAGCATCATCTTACATTTGGCGGGAGCGAATCGCATGCCATACATTCGTAGATTGCAGCTCAAGGTGTTCAGAAGACTCTGAATTTTGTCAACGTCTTCACCTACAAGGACTATATCATCTGCATATTCTAAGTCAACGAGATTATTCGTTGGTAGCAAGTCAATCCCTGAGTCTCTGAAGTGAGTTAAGGTTAAATTGATAAGTACATCTATGATAAAACTGAATAGAAATGAGGATAGTGAGCATCCCTGACGGACACCGCTAGTTGTCACCCGTTTAGATAACAATTGGCCGTCTTAAATGGAATGTCCTTGAATATTACATTGCCAGAAATCACTTCGAAGTGAATTAATCCTATTGATGATATAATGTTGTTTGTGAATAGTAGAGAATATATCACAGGTAAACATCAATATGTTATTCATTCATTCGTCAGTGGTATTCATAATGGCTTAATCTGTGGTATACAACACATTTTATCCTAGAAGTCAATATAATAGCATTGATAATAACAATATCTAAAGCCCCCTCCCACAAGACTGCAAAACACATTAGGAGTTGACCTTTTTTCTATTCTTAAATATCACTTTAAGATATATATATTTAAACTACCTGATCACTTGTGTAGCTGAATTTTGTAGGGATATGAAAATTTAGACTAAAAGAAATGATTCTGCAAAAAAAAAATGCCAGTCATTTTGTATACATTTGATGAGGTGGTGAATATGTATGTATATGTCAATCAAGAAAATATGACCACACAAGAAACAAAAAACCAATTAAAGTCATGATTTGGATGTTCTACACTATTAAAAAGGTTATATGAGTATCCACTGTATGTCTTAAAGCTGTTCAAATAAACTGATGGATTTTGTAGCATAATTATTTATAGAACACGAAGTATAACATATTTTTACATTAAATGGAAATCTCATGAAGAATAAAGGATAACAGAATACACCCCGTGTGATAGAAGTTCAAGTATTTCCCTATGATAAATTCGTTAAGACAGAGCGAAAATTCAAAATACGATTCTAAAATTAAAAGTAAGAAGAAACCAAGCTTATATGATAACGACTTCTCATGCATATTATCATCATTCCCATTCCGTTCACTCTGTTCTCTGACGCCTTTTTCAACTAGTTACGCGATGGCGCATAAGCTTTCATCTCCTCTTCACACGATCTCTTCCATGTCACCCCCAGACACATAGTCAAATAGTCATTTCTCATTCGGGCTCCACTCTAGAAATTGACGTGTGATGTCGCTAAACTATCTCTTCAACATGTGTCCAATTCATTTGCATATACTTCTGCATATTTGTTGGGCGATAGGATCTTGGCTGGCTCACCGTATTGCTAGAAATTTCTTTTTCCTTTTGACGAGTTGATATCAGTTAGAGAATCATTGAAAACCAGCCACAGGGAGTACTGGACAGCTGCTGTTTCATCCTAGTTTGAGAAACGTCGACAGTACCCACCCACCGCCAGGGTTCCAACCCTGGACCTTCCGGTTACAAGGCAAGCTCGTATACTATTCAGCCACTGGGACCCGATTCAAAGGCCATTCCATGAATTCTAACTTCTACCAATTCGTGATTTAGCACGACCCCAACCATTTTCGTAGGTGGGACATCCATCCTCACACATGACATCATTGGTCACGACTTCTCACTAGAACTCCAGGAAACTCCATCCTGCAACAAGTCACTAGCGGCCAACCATCTGATCTTCAGGGAAATCTTGACAAAAGTTATCAGACTGTTAGAAATGCTTTTACTGATCCGTGCGCCAAATCTCTGAACCATATAGAAGGAAGCACTGACTGAATCACCTGACATTAGTGTTGAATATCTGAATCTTCTTCCTTGTACTGAGTGGAACAGGTCTCTACACTGATTTCCGAGTGGTGAATGTCTGTCTTGGTTTTCGGACTCTAGGTGTCTTTGACATCCTCTTTGGTGCCGCCTATGATTGAAACAATGATGTTTGGATAAGTGGAAGAGGTAACGTCCTTCAAATTTCTCTTGTTGGTTGTGATTGGTTCTTGCTATTATTTAGGTATCTACATCCGCTCCGCCTTCTCTATGTTCACCCGAACTTCTGTCTACACTGCTTCTTCTAACAACTTGTTGGTTCTCGACTGTAGATCCACCAGTTTGTGAGACATTCGATATTTGCGAAGCCTAGATCTCTCAGAATCTTCTCATAAGTTCAATATATGTTCGTCTTCTACCTCCCCACCGTATGTTGTATGATTCATCCCACCATAATCAGAAATATTATCGTCGGTGGCACAGTGGTTAGGACTCTCACCGACCATGCACATGGTCCGGGATTCGATCCCCTGCCGACGCACACCCGATATCTACGGTCGGCCTACGAAATTTGGGCTACTGCTATCCAGGCTGAAAATTCCATACTTGTACTGAAAATACGGTGTGGAATCAAGCTGTATTCAAAATAAATAAATAAAATAAATAATAGGCAGCTTTATTTTACTCCAGTCTTCACTTTAAAGGCTTCGCTGAGCTTTCAGTTGCGAATCACTTGGCATGTGGCATCATTATATGGCTATTGAATAAGATTTATAAGGGTTTGGGGCACTACTCTGTAGTGCATAACACCCTACTATCAACCAGCCATTAAGTTAAGGCAGGTATGAACTTAATGTTTAAACGTCAACTACAATGGAGTATAACAGGATACAAGATCCGGAAAAACAAATATCGAAATCCCAATTCATTTAAAAACAGGTTGCAAGAGTTCATAATATGACTGTTACTATTTTTATCTGCACAATAGAGTTAGCCTCATAATTAGGCAATCTTTGACAATCAATCATCATTAGACAAAACATTAAAAATTTACAGTCATAACAAGTAGGCATCACAGAAAAAAAAGAGTAAAGAAGAAGAGTACCGACTTACTTGTAGAACCAAGTGTTACTGTCGACTGTGGATTATTCTGTTTTGTTAAACATTCCAACTGACGTAATTGTTTAGCAAGTTGTTCAATCATTTGTTCAAGTAAAGCACAACGTTCACCTTGATTATTAAATATGCGTTGCCATCGTCCAATTTGACCACGAGTGAAATGAGTAAATTCAGAACATGACTGTGTGTATTCAACAACACATATTAGGGGGGGGGGGGAGGTAGCAGAGAAAAACATTAAAAAACAAAGAAAAACAAATAAATCGATTATTTTACTGCATTTGTATGACAATATATTAATGAAATATATATATATATATGCATATATTGACAATAATTCAATTATAAGCTCTGTGTTTAGAAGCTTATACAAGACAACTAATTAATTAACATGCAACTGAATCACTTTGTGAATATAAAGAAATTCATGAACTAGGGGCTCGTACTCACAACCTACAGTGTACGTGCCACCAGTAAGTAATGTAATACACTTGAATTAAAAGATGTAAGTAGACAAACGAAAAGACTTTAAAGTAGTACATCATTCGCCAAGATGAAGCAATACACTAACTACTATCGTAAGCAATGAACATCTCAGTTGATTTTAGAAACGATTAATAATAAGATTGAAACAGGAAATTAAGGGAAAGAAGGAAGATATGAGAATAGGATGCAGTGATAAAACACTAAGTCTTGATTTAACCAATACATATAGCAACGTTCTCTTATTATAAGTAATATAGACGTGCCTATGAAACTGCATTACATAGAAATGAAAGCAATCGTATACAGCAAAAAGCCGGGAACAACTGAGAATTTAAATAATACACAAATAATCCATGGAACAAAACTAGGTGATCTTTGTAACTTAACAGCCACTGACACTTCAAGCTATAGATGTTGGATTCCATGGGACACATAGGGACAGCAGTACACTGGGATGCAGTATAGCTGCTCAGATGAAGTGCACATTCTGGATTTTAAATTCATGAATAGTCGCCATCATGGCATTAATGGAAAAAAACAAAACAAGTAGTTCAGAGAAGAGGGTCTATTTGGAGAATCTATTTTTCATTTTTAGCTGTACAATCACATTTATACACAATTTTCTTTTTACATTAGAGGATAGTTATAAAAGCGACGATTTGAGGAGCCAGGGCTGTTAGTCGTTCAACGCACACCTTGTCTCAAAGGATTCAACAACACTATCATGCATGGTTGCAGAAACGTAGACGCGGTATTTGAACACCTTGTCGACACTGATCATTCTATCTCACAATAAACTCCTGCTATAAATGAATCTACAAAGTGAGGAACAACTTGTCAAAAACAGTACGCTTTCGTCTCCGCTGCTCTGCTGAATTTCTGACCATTAAGATAACGAAACAGAAGCTTTGTATGCAAAAGAAAATTATTCAACCACTTCTACTACTATCATGGTAACAAACTCGTTGTTTTCTGCCAATTTGATTTTTGTTTGTTTTCTAACTCTTTATAAATTCTGTATTTCTCGCGAACCGTTACGTAACATCATATTTTCTACTGCCGTTTCTAATTGCATCCTGATTAAAACCCATTTATTATATTATATATATCCTAGTAAGTAACTTTAACATCCTTATCCAACTCTTCCTATGTATTTATTAATATTAGCAACTGACTGCGACAGTTCATCACTTTTGTTACTATACTCTTTTGTGAACAAAACAAACTGCATCCATCGGTGGCACAGCGGTTAGGACTCTCGCTGACCATGCAAATGGTCCGGGCTTCGATCCTCTGCCGACGCACACTTGACATCAATTGGTCGGCCTGCAGAATTTGGGCTACTGATATCACATGCTGAAAATTCCAAACTTGTACCAAAATGACGGTGTGGAATCAAATCATAATCAAAGGAAAAAAAATTAAAGATAAGTGCTATTGTACAAGTAAAGAAAATAAATTCGCTGAGAAAAGAACCCTCTTTGCTGACCCACTAACTGATGTCAGCTCATGATAAAATCCTGTAACCAATCAAATCCCTACAAACCAACACTTGAAAATCAATGAGATGCTCACTAGCGACTTGCCCTATTCAGGTGGGTAGTCACCTGGGGTTCTAGTGAGAAGTCGTGACCAGTAGGGTGCAGCAGGTCGGGCGTGAGGACAAATACTCGCCGAAGACATTGGCTAGGGGTCGCGCTATGTCGTGAATTGGCAGAAGTTAGAATTCATGGACCATTGGATCGGGTCCCAGTGGCTTAATGGTATACGAGCTCGCCTTGTAACCAGAAGGTCCTGGGTTCGAATCCCGGTGGGTGCGTACTGCTGAAGAGTCCCAAACTAGGACGAAACAGCTGTCCAGTACTCCCAGGTTTTCCAATGGTCCTCTAACTGATGTCAGCTCATGATGAAATCCTGTAACCAATCAAATCCCTACAAACCAACACTTGAAAATCAATGAGATGCTCACTAGCGACTTGCCCTATTCAGGTGGGTAGTCACCTGGGGTTCTAGTGAGAAGTCGTGACCAGTAGGGTGCAGCAGGTCGGGCGTGAGGACAAATACTCGCCGAAGACATTGGCTAGGGGTCGCGCTATGTCGTGAATTGGCAGAAGTTAGAATTCATGGACCATTGGATCGGGTCCCAGTGGCTTAATGGTATACGAGCTCGCCTTGTAACCAGAAGGTCCTGGGTTCGAATCCCGGTGGGTGCGTACTGCTGAAGAGTCCCAAACTAGGACGAAACAGCTGTCCAGTACTCCCAGGTTTTCCAATGGTCCTCTAACTGATGTCAGCTCATGATGAAATCCTGTAACCAATCAAATCCCTACAAACCAACACTTGAAAATCAATGAGATGCTCACTAGCGACTTGCCCTATTCAGGTGGGTAGTCACCTGGGGTTCTAGTGAGAAGTCGTGACCAGTAGGGTGCAGCAGGTCGGGCGTGAGGACAAATACTCGCCGAAGACATTGGCTAGGGGTCGCGCTATGTCGTGAATTGGCAGAAGTTAGAATTCATGGACCATTGGATCGGGTCCCAGTGGCTTAATGGTATACGAGCTCGCCTTGTAACCAGAAGGTCCTGGGTTCGAATCCCGGTGGGTGCGTACTGCTGAAGAGTCCCAAACTAGGACGAAACAGCTGTCCAGTACTCCCAGGTTTTCCAATGGTCCTCTAACTGATGTCAGCTCATGATGAAATCCTGTAACCAATCAAATCCCTACAAACCAACACTTGAAAATCAATGAGATGCTCACTAGCGACTTGCCCTATTCAGGTGGGTAGTCACCTGGGGTTCTAGTGAGAAGTCGTGACCAGTAGGGTGCAGCAGGTCGGGCGTGAGGACAAATACTCGCCGAAGACATTGGCTAGGGGTCGCGCTATGTCGTGAATTGGCAGAAGTTAGAATTCATGGACCATTGGATCGGGTCCCAGTGGCTTAATGGTATACGAGCTCGCCTTGTAACCAGAAGGTCCTGGGTTCGAATCCCGGTGGGTGCGTACTGATGAAGAGTCCCAAACTAGGACGAAACAGCTGTCCAGTACTCCCAGGTTTTCCAATGGTCCTCTAACTGATGTCAGCTCATGATGAAATCCTGTAACCAATCAAATCCCTACAAACCAACACTTGAAAATCAATGAGATGCTCACTAGCGACTTGCCCTATTCAGGTGGGTAGTCACCTGGGGTTCTAGTGAGAAGTCGTGACCAGTAGGGTGCAGCAGGTCGGGCGTGAGGACAAATACTCGCCGAAGACATTGGCTAGGGGTCGCGCTATGTCGTGAATTGGCAGAAGTTAGAATTCATGGACCATTGGATCGGGTCCCAGTGGCTTAATGGTATACGAGCTCGCCTTGTAACCAGAAGGTCCTGGGTTCGAATCCCGGTGGGTGCGTACTGCTGAAGAGTCCCAAACTAGGACGAAACAGCTGTCCAGTACTCCCAGGTTTTCCAATGGTCCTCTAACTGATGTCAGCTCATGATGAAATCCTGTAACCAATCAAATCCCTACAAACCAACACTTGAAAATCAATGAGATGCTCACTAGCGACTTGCCCTATTCAGGTGGGTAGTCACCTGGGGTTCTAGTGAGAAGTCGTGACCAGTAGGGTGCAGCAGGTCGGGCGTGAGGACAAATACTCGCCGAAGACATTGGCTAGGGGTCGCGCTATGTCGTGAATTGGCAGAAGTTAGAATTCATGGACCATTGGATCGGGTCCCAGTGGCTTAATGGTATACGAGCTCGCCTTGTAACCAGAAGGTCCTGGGTTCGAATCCCGGTGGATGCGTACTGCTGAAGAGTCCCAAACTAGGACGAAACAGCTGTCCAGTACTCCCAGGTTTTCCAATGGTCCTCTAACTGATGTCAGCTCATGATGAAATCCTGTAACCAATCAAATCCCTACAAACCAACACTTGAAAATCAATGAGATGCTCACTAGCGACTTGCCCTATTCAGGTGGGTAGTCACCTGGGGTTCTAGTGAGAAGTCGTGACCAGTAGGGTGCAGCAGGTCGGGCGTGAGGACAAATACTCGCCGAAGACATTGGCTAGGGGTCGCGCTATGTCGTGAATTGGCAGAAGTTAGAATTCATGGACCATTGGATCGGGTCCCAGTGGCTTAATGGTATACGAGCTCGCCTTGTAACCAGAAGGTCCTGGGTTCGAATCCCGGTGGGTGCGTACTGCTGAAGAGTCCCAAACTAGGACGAAACAGCTGTCCAGTACTCCCAGGTTTTCCAATGGTCCTCTAACTGATGTCAGCTCATGATGAAATCCTGTAACCAATCAAATCCCTACAAACCAACACTTGAAAATCAATGAGATGCTCACTAGCGACTTGCCCTATTCAGGTGGGTAGTCACCTGGGGTTCTAGTGAGAAGTCGTGACCAGTAGGGTGCAGCAGGTCGGGCGTGAGGACAAATACTCGCCGAAGACATTGGCTAGGGGTCGCGCTATGTCGTGAATTGGCAGAAGTTAGAATTCATGGACCATTGGATCGGGTCCCAGTGGCTTAATGGTATACGAGCTCGCCTTGTAACCAGAAGGTCCTGGGTTCGAATCCCGGTGGGTGCGTACTGCTGAAGAGTCCCAAACTAGGACGAAACAGCTGTCCAGTACTCCCAGGTTTTCCAATGGTCCTCTAACTGATGTCAGCTCATGATGAAATCCTGTAACCAATCAAATCCCTACA